TATTTTTATGTGTTTTGTTCATCCATGGTGCACTGGATTCTTGGCCATAGTTACTGCAGATTGATTGCCACACATGATAACAGTAGGCCTGATCTGTTTCAGCTTCAAATCTTCAAGGATTTTCCTTAGCCAAATGGCTTGATTCACAGCTGCAGCAGCAGATATATACTCTGCTTCAGCTGTGGATTGAGCCACGGTTTCCTGCTTCCTGGAGAACCAATAGATAGCACCATGATTTAGGAAGAATGCAAATCCAGAAGTGTTCCTCATATCATCTGTTGAACCAGCCCAATCACTGTTGAAATAACCAACTAACTTGAAATCTTTTGATCTCTTGAACCACACCCCAAAATCAGTGCTACCTTTTACATATCTCAGCACCTTTTTTGCAGTCTTGAAGTGTGTCTCAGTTGGTTGACTCATAAACCTGGACAGCAAGCTGGTTGCATACATCAAATTTGTGTTAGAGTAGATGCCCTAGAGCCAATCAATTATTGTAGAATTGACTCTTTGTAATAATGTTCAATGATCAATAAAAGGCGTTTTATACTATACCACGTAAATCATCATTGTATGTATTGATATATGGTAGAACCGTGACGAGGGTATCAAGTGTTTCAAATCTTGATAGTGAGAACCCTATAAGCACATATGGTGGTCATTCTAGAAACATCCGTAGCCCCAGTGTTATTCTGAAGTAAGGGCACAGATAATATGGTAAGGCTATCATAGTGTTGAACGACCCTGTCGAAAGGCAGTGACTAGTCTCACTTGTCAAGGTTGTTTGGTGACAACCTGGTGCAACACATGGGTGCTTGCTGTAGGCAAGTTCACTGGACTGACCCACTAGAGGATTCCATATGGATGGTAACCCTAGTGTCTATGGAACAAATCCTCTAACGAATGGTGGTACATGTGATCCTTAGACTTGAGATCACCAGAGCGCCTTGTGCATCGATTGGTGTAGTTTGACACTAGCCTAACGCAATTCTATTCAGAGCTGTCAATACGGTGGTGATTGGCTACATCAAGGAGTGTATCAAGACTATGGTGGATAGACAGAGGATTCATCACTCCCGGGTACGGGAGAAGTTATCTCACAGTGCAATTCAGTAGATGGCAATGACACTAAAACTGTGGCCACAGTGAGATTGAGTTGTTCCTCTATCCAGTTTATAATACAAGTCATTGGTCCAGTAACTAAATACACAATATCGAGAGTAATCGAAGGTTGACACTATTTCTATGCCTCGGTCTAATCGAGATAACGGACGATGAAAGGATCGAATTGTATGGTAACCATATCGTTGACAGGTAGCTACTTTGTTAAATCCGAATCTATCGAGTGGCCATGATGCCTTGCTAGGGGCCAATCTTGGTCTGCGTTTAGTGAGACGATTAATTAGTGTTAATTGCGATACTACACATTGCTGGTAAGATGAGGAGCCTATGGGTCACACACATAGAAGATAATTTAAGAGCCAAAAGGAGAGAAGTGCATTTTTCATCTTTTCAGGCGAAAGGGTATTTTGGTAATTTCACAGTGCAATTAAATTTGCCGAGGTCGTAGCCTTTATTTAATTTGTTAGAAAAATTAAATAAGTGAGATTATGTTTAAATATGTGCTTGCATATATTTAAATAAATTATCATTATTGTTAAATGTTAATATGTATTAAAGATATATTAATTGATTTTAATTGAGATAATGATAAACAAAATTAAAATATCTAAATGGAAGTGTTTGGAAACAAGGGGTGTTTGGGTTGGAGCCCAAGCCTATTCCATAAGGGAATAGGGCAACTAACTTGCACTATAAAAGAAAAGGTTTAATTGAGAGTGAGTGGGACTTTTCATTATTTCATTTTCACTCATTGAAAGAAAACTTTCTAGCCCCAAAACACTCTTCCACGCCAGATTGCTTTTTGCTTAGAATCAAAGTATTCTTTGATTTTTCTTTCTTGTTTTTTAAGGCTAAAGAGGATCTAGCAAATCCCTCTTCAGTTCCTTACGATTATCTTCGTGTGGACTACATCGGTTTGATCCTACACTTGGGTCGGTAGCAAAATACATTCAGAGACAAAGTTGGAGGAGCCTCCAAACGTGCGTATGATTTCTTAAACTCTAAACTAATTTTTTGCAGATTCTTATTTTGATATAAACAGTAAATTTGTGCCCTGATCTTGGTTCTATGGAACGATCCATATTGTTAAACATTTTTTTTTTCCGTTGCGTAAATAGATCGTTTCCTAACAATCTGGTCTAGTTGCTGTCAAGTACAGCAGACACCCTATCAAGCTTCTGTAAAATCCTTTATCAACCTTCTCACCATCATCATCTTTTGACAGTTTCAAATTTGGAACCAATGGCAGATTCACTGGTTTGCAATTCTCCATGCATAATTTTTTTAGAACTTCATTTGTATACTTTCTTTGATTCACAAAGATGCCATCCACATCTTGATCAATTTCCATTCCAAGAAAGTAAGACATTCCACCCAAGTCAGTCATTTCAAACTCACTTTGCATGGATTTCTTAAACTCACCCACTTGAGTTTGATTGCTTCCAATTACTAGAAGATCATACACACACAGAGAAATGATCATCACATCATCTTCAGCTTCTTTAATGTATAAAGTATGTTCATTTGGATTCTTCACAAAGTCCAAGTTTAGCAGGTGGTCATTAATCCTGTTGTACTAGGCCCTTGGTGCTTGTTTTAGGCCATACAAGGCCTTTTTCAACAAATACACCTTTCCCTCTTCTCCTTGGATCACATACCCTTCAGGTTGTTCAATATAGATTTCCTCATTTAACCAGCCATTCAAGAAGGCAGATTTTACATCCATTTGGAAAACTTTCCAGGAGAATTGAGCAGCCAATGCAAGTAGCAGCCTAATGGTGTCATGCCGAGCAACAGGAGCAAATGTTTCCAGGAAATCCACTCCATATTGCTGAGAAAATCCTTTAACCACAAGCCTGGCCTTATGCTTCAGAATTGACCCATCCAAATTCAGCTTTTTTTTTTTTAAATCCATTTCACCTGAATCACCTTTCTGTTTTCTGGTCTGTCCACCAGCTTCCAAGTCTGATTTTTCTCAATCATTGCAAGCTCCTCCTTCATGCAATCCTCCAAGATTCTGACTATGTAGCCTCTGAATAACTTGAAGGTTCCATTTGTGCTAAGTTCCATTTGTGCTAAGTTGCATCTGTCATACACATTAGCTAGAGTTCTAGTTCCTCTAACAGCAACCTCTTCATCTGATTCCTCCCCTGAGTCTTCTTCAATCTGATCAGCTTGAACCTCACTTGGTTGAGGTTTTGTTTCTACATCAACTTTACACTTTTCCCAATTCCAGACTCCACCCTTATCTATTGTAACATCCCGGGACACCACCACTTTCCTTGAGTCAGGAATGTAAATTTTGTAGGCTTTGGATTGGCTGCTTTAGCCAATAAATATTCTGGTCACTGCCTTATCCTCCAGCTTTGTCCTCTTTGTAGGTGGCACCAGGACATAGCATATGTTACCAAAAATCTTCAACTCATCCACTGCTGGTCTGACTCCAGTCTAAGCTTCAAAAGGTGTTTGATTACTCAAGGCTTTAGTGGGAAGTCTGTTGAGTAAGTAAACACTTGTGTTTACAGCCTCTGCCCAAAAGAGTTTGGGAAGATTTTTCTCAGCCATCAAGCATCTTGCCATTTTCATAACTTTCCTGTTTCTTCTCTCACAAACTCCATTCTGTTGTGGAGTATAAGGGCTGTTGAATTGATGTCTAATTCCAGCTTCTATGCTGATTTTTTCAAACTCTTGAGAAGTGTATTCAATGCCATTATCACTTCTCAAGGTTTTAATGGATTTTCTTGTCAGGTTTTATACTTCCAGTTTGAATTTTCTGAATACTCTAGCCACCTCATTTTCTGGCCTAGAAAGTAAACTCAGCCCATCCTAGACCAATCATCTATGAACAATACAAAGTACTTGCTCCCATTAAGTGATAAGGTTTGCATGGGGCCACATACATTCGAGTGAACAAGCTAGAGTTTTTCAGAAGCTCTCCAAGCTTGATTCACTGGAAAGGATTTCCTACTCATCTTGCCTAATTGACACACTTTACAGACACCTCTCGGTTGTTCAACAATAGGCAGATTTTGGACTAAATTTTTTGACTGCATTTCCCTTAGATTTCTATAATGTACATGGCCTAATCTCTTGTGCCATATTTCAGTTTCATCCTCTCTAATATTGCATGCTTTGTGTGGTATAACTATCCACATAATTGGAAAGCTTTTCCCTACCATTTTCACTCTCATAATCTCATTTACCTCACTGTCTTGAATAATGCAAGATTGTTTTTTAAAGTGCAGTGCATAATCCTTTTCCAACATTTGTCCCACACTCAAAAGACTTTGATTTATGTTAGGTGCATAAAGTACATTAGAGATTAGTTTTGTACCTTTTGGAGTTTGAATTACAACATCTCCTTTACCTCTTGCTTCCACACATTCTCCATTTCCAACTTTAATCTTTGACTGATGAGAGTGATCTATGTTCACAAAGCTGCTCAAATCTGGTGTCATGTGATGTGTGCATCCGCTGTCAATTAACCAGGTATCATCACAAGCTTGGATCAAGTTAGATGAGGCCACAAACAATTGCTCTGTCTCCTGCCCTGTTTGTTGTTCATCAGTTGTTTGAGCTTGCTGTTGGGACTGCTCTCCCTTGTTTTTGCACACTCTTTCAATATGGCCGAATTGTTTGCAAGCCCTACACTATATACTAGGTCTGAACCAGCATTTGTGCTCTGCATGTCCCTTCCTTTTACAATGAGAACAAACCAGAAAATTCTTCATCCCACCAGCTTTGTTCCATTGGTTATTGGACCTTTCTTTTCCTTTCTTTTCTCCAGCAAACTTTCTATAGTTCCCTTGTACAGACTTGCCCTTATGAGTTGCTAACATTGCCACTTCATTTGCATCCTCTAGCCTTAGGAGCCTTCTCTACTCTTGTGCCTGCAGAGCATGGACCAGCTCAGTCAATGTCATTTGAGTCAGGTCCTTTGAGTCCTCCAAGGATGCGATCTTAGTTTCAAACCTTTTCGGCAAGCTCACCATCACCTTCTCCACTATTCTGCTATCTGACATCTCCACTCCAAGTAATCTGATTTTGTTGACAATGTTCATCAACCTATCAACATATTCCTTCACTTTCTCAACCTCCTGCATTCTTAATGTTTCAAACTCCCTTCTCAAATTTAGAACCTGCATGTTTCTTGTAGTATCACTTCCCATGAACTCCTCCTTCAACTTGTCCCATGACTCTTTGGCTGTTTCGCATGCCATAATCCTTGTGAAAACAAGGTATGTGACAGCTGAGTGAATATGAGACAAGGCTCTTGGAGCCTTTGAAGCTTCCTCTTCATGCATTCGAATTTGGTTGAGAGTGGGATTTGGTCCCAACTGAGGGAGTTGTTTCTCTTCTTCTACATACTGCCAGAGTCCTTGGCCCCTCAAGTACGCTTTCATTTTGATGGACCATATATGGTAGTGTTCACCATTGAACACAGGAGGTAGAACGGAAGCTGTTGGAGTGGTCATTTGTTCAAGAAAAAACAGGTCTGATGCAAGGCTGTTTTCCAGGGAGGTAGACGAGTTGTTCTGGAGAAGAAGGGTTTAGATTTTTTGCTGGAATTAACTCAGCTTTGATACCATGTTAATGGTTTTACACCGGAGATAACAAAGAAAAGAAAGAGAGCTGAATTGGAATAAAGAAAGTTACTTTTTGCTACATCTACAAATGAGTTTACATTACAACTAATAAAGCAAAATATTACACTATTTGCACCAACTTTGCAGTCATATAATAACCTAAATTAATCTAAAGCCACACACTTAATACCAACTAACAACAACTATTGCAGCACATCCCTTATAATCTGGAATACATATCTACCATTACAAAAATAGGTTAAATTTTGTAGCATATCAAATGGACCCCCGGCAGATTGCCTTTCAGTTTTGCTGCCAACACATGTTCAAAAAACACTTAGTAAACTGCTGCATTTCCAACCAAGTATCAATGTTCAACACATAGTTGAGATTGCCCTTGAATCGATACACGTTCAGATCATGTTACAACCAGTCGATATAGAAGAGGTTGAGATTCCTAATGTCTTCTTACCCCTTTATATAAATTGAGTAGATTTCATTGCAAAGGCAAACAAGCAAATTGCTAAGAGCATCCAACTGCTAAGCATTCTCTTTTCTATTAATAAAAAATGGCAGCCTACCATACAGTTTGCCTTCTAGACCACACCCATTTGCCAGAAATCAATTTGCAAATATGCAGATTAAAGGCTTCAGAAGCCGCTTCTTCATCATCATCAATAAGCCACAAATTAAATGGTCTTCAGGATTTGCATGATTGCATCAATAAGTTGCTTCTGTTACCTTCCTTAGCCCAAGAGAAGCATGAGAAATCGTTTGATGAGCTGTTGGACCGATCTCTCAGGCTCTTGGATCTATGTAGCACTGCTAAAGATGCATTGTTGCAAACAAAAGGAATCAACACAAGAACTTTTGCCCATCAATCGCCGAAGATGTGGAAGTGACAATGGATTCACAAGTGAGGCTAGGAAGTACTTGGCCTCAAGGAAGGCGGCAAAAAAGGCAGTGCAAAAGGCCTTGGGAGATCTGAAGGTCATGAAAAAAGAAATGCTTTCTCTAACAATGACAATGAGAGCATTCTAAAGGAGGTGGAAGCAATCACTCTCAATGTATTTGAATCTTTATTGTCTTTTATCTCTGGTCCACAAGCGCAATCAAAGATAAGTGGATGGTCACTAGTTTCCAAACTAATGCACCACAAAAAAGTGGCTTGTGTAGAAGAAGAAATAGAAGCAAATGAATTTGCGAAGGTGGATGCTTCATTGCAGTTTCTCATTGGTAACAAGACATGCAAATCTGATTACATGAAGCAAGTTGCAGATTTGCAGAACCAGCTAAAGAACCTGGAGTTATGAATTCAAGATTTTGAAGATGGACTTGAATGCTTGTATAGATGTTTGATCAAAACTAGAGTTGCTCTTCTCAATTCATTCTCAACCACTCGCTAGCTAGCATACAAATTAAAATAATCATGTGATATACTTGTTATACTCTGTATATAAATGAAATATACTTGAATTTTAACTCTCAGATTACAGTTTCATACTCTTTTGCACAATTACTTATATTTTTTCGTATGCTTTTCCTCTCTGTCAGGAGCATTACTTCATAGATGGGATTTAACACTCCAATTCGTATTTATTCATCATATTGAAATTAATAATCTGCCATATGCCAACTTTGAGAGTTATTCATAATGAACACAACCGAAAGAATAAGGGAATAATAAATAACTACAAACAACCAAACAAAAGAGAAAATGAGCTATTTCATTAACTAGCTAGAGAAGACAACCTTTCAGTGATGAATTTCTGGTTAACGGAGCTTTCAGGTCTCAGCCGCATGGGAAATATATCCAATTTAGATAAGACACTTATTCAAATTGTTAGAGTGTTGGGCTCATACGGTGAAGTTTTATTATTAAGTGAGACAACGTCGTTTTGAGCCAAGCAAAGACAAATCCTGTCCATTGGCTGGCTGAGCATATAACGGTGGAAAATCAGTCTGATAGTCAACAGTATAAAAGCATTGCAATAGTCTCTTCTCAACAATTGAAACCCTTCTTTCGTGTTTTTCTCTTTTCTCTGTAAAACGAATAGCCTCCATTAGGGTTTGGGTACAGTCTTGATCTTGAATCTGTAACAGGGTGTTTGAGTGGCTGGTTTGTAGGCCATTTGAGGGTAATAGAGCTTGCAGTGTATCTTGGGTGTTAGATCTGTTTCTCTAGGGTGTTACAGGTTCTGGAAAGATCTGTGTAAGGGTTTGATTCTTGGCTGAGTTGTGTTTCTGTAATCTGAATCAATATAGTGCAGCGAGCTCGCTGGTTTCCTGAGCTGAACGTGGACGTAGCTTGCTCATATCTGAGCAAGTGAACCACGGTAAATCTTGTTGTTGTTATGTGTGTGTGTGAATCCTTTTGTGATTTTGTGTTTGCTTTCTGGTTGATCTGTTCGAGTAGTTACAACACAAATGAAAGAAATTCACATTGTATACTGAAATATATCACATGTGTGCTTTAAGTTACAATGAAATATGTTGGCTGTCTTACTGATATGATGCTCATTTCCATACTTATATTCATCATGTTAACATGAATGATATCATTTATGGAAACATGTGACGAGCAATCTGATAGGCTTGCAATCTAAAGCTAGCAACCAAATGAGCTAGATGAGAAGGCTGAAAGCTTAAGTAGATGTACTCTGAGCATGTGTCGAAATGAGCATGCGATATGGATGAAGCAACCAGAGGGTAATGCGATGTGGAAGCAATACAGGAAAGTGTGATAATCCGAGGATTATACTATTTTTACTAGGCTTTTTGGTCGAATTGTAGATACTTTTTAGTTCATTTTTACCTGAATTGTTACTTAATTATTTGCATTTTGTGTTTCAGGCAAAAATGGACATTTAGAGCAAATAATGAGCGATTTGGAGTTTCTGGACTCAGAAGTAAGCGGATCAGATTTTGGAAGAGTTCTGAAGCAGAATGGAGCACTAGGAGGCTTGTTTCCATAAGAGAGCATCGAAGATCGAAGATTCAAGCAAAAAGGTAAGCGGAGGGCAATTCTGTAAATTTAGAATTCCACATGAAGTTTCGCCGCAACAAAGAGAGTTGTGCATGAGATCTGTTTTCACTTCGTCGCCGCGACGAAGTCTGTGAATTCCAAAACGCACAGTTTCGATTTTAGTCATTTTCCTAGGTTTTTGGGCGAGGTATAAAAGAAAAACTTAGTCATTTTGTGAGGAGTCGTTTGTTTTTGAGTAGAGAGTGGCTTTTTACATTTTCTTAGATTCATTTTGAGCGAACTTAGATTTAAAAGGGTGAAGATTCGAGATTTAACCAGTAGATTCATCAATTGGGGAGATTTCTTTTCCTTTTCTTTTCTCTTGTTTACATTATGTTGAACTTTGAATTTTTCATTTCTTTTGGTTGTATTGTTGATTTAGCCATGAACTAACATATTTTGGGTTAGAGTTTTGATTGTAATTCGAAATTTCATGGGTTAAGTAATTGAGAGTTATTATTTTCATATGAACTTGTTGTGATTGTGTGATTACTCTGAAATTATTGTTTGTATGTGATGAACATGATGAGATTGAGAAATGAATCATGATAGGCTTCTTGGGTAATCACCATTGTAGTATTGAATGCTAGAGATAGATTCAAGAATCAATGAAATCAATCTAGGATTCCTTATTCTTAAAGAGCTTAGAATTATTAACCTTCAATTTGTTGGGTGTGGGAAGTTAATGGGGAAGAGTAGGAACACATAGCCTAAGAAGGTATGTCTTACACTTTAGAGAATTCGATTTACAATTAATGCATGTGAATATGGAATTAGTTTAATCTTTAAGTTTAACCCATAGAGTCTGAATGAAGTCAAAACCCTACCCATTTGTTTGAATTGATTTTATCAGTGTTTTAAATCTTGCTTTCATAGTTTAAATTTTTATTTTAGCAAAGTTTGTTTTAACTTTAGTTTAAATTGCTCCCATTAATCCAAACGAATTCGATTGCTCCAACTTGAAAACAGTAGAAAGCTTAGTGCTTAGCAACAATCCTCGTGGGAACGATACTCACTCATCACTTTATTACTTGTGTGATTAGTATACTTGCTATATTTGCATGTTATAGGAAACACGCATCAAAGTGTCCAAGCGACCTAAGGAGCTTGCGATTAGAAGCATGAAGGGACCTGTCAAAAAAAAAGTCATAGTCTTAGAGCCATCATTGATGGATTTACCTTGAAGGGTTTAGCTATTATTATGAATAAGATTGCCAGATGTCAATCTAGTTAGGAATGTTTGGCTCAAAATTCTGACAACGTATAAAACTGAATTAACGTGTTAATTGGTTTGCTATCTAGGATTAGCATTTAATGCTCTACAAAATAGACATGTTAAAAGAAGCAAACAATGATGTGTTTAGGCTGTATATAAACAATGCTTAAATTAATGAAAATCAGTTTTTTTGTGCATTCTTTCCTTTGCATTCTCCAGCTTGTAATCCAACAAATCCTTTGCCATATATGCTAATATGCAGAGACATGATAATACCAAATACATATGGATCTTATTGTCTTAAAATTTTGATTTACCAAAGATGACCATTGATTAACATTAAGTTCTCTAAACATGTAAATGTTACACATAATTTGTAATTTTCTTAAGAATTGAAAAATTGCCAAATTGTTGTGGTTGTTACTTTCTCAAACCTGTAGAATGTCCACGTCAATATATGTAAGGATAAGGATAAGGATAAGATAAGGTTTGATTATTTTACCAAACTAAAGTAAGTTGTTCATATCAAAGTAAAGGAGTGGGCATCTTTGTATACAGTATATTGGCAATTTCCATGAACCTTTTGAGCTTTGATTGAATGAGGTGGTGAATGTGGATTCGTTCTTTACCTAATTAATTTGTAAAAAGCAGCTAGCTTAGATACGTGGTAGACCAATATTCATGATTCATCAAATGAGGCAAACCAAATCCAAGTCCAAGTGCAAGGCACCAAAACATAATTATTTTATTTCAGCATTCTTCTAAGATGGACACATGCCATGGATATTCTTCAAGGATATCCTTACTTTTAATAAATGTCTCTTTTAAACTCACAATTTTCTTCAAATTCATTTCAAAATAAATAAAGATTTCATGTAATAATTAGTACTCACCAGAGTTCATTAATTGTGCAGTGTGCTCCTTACCTTTTCTTTTAATTTCTACTTCATTACATTGCTAAAATCATTGGTATATTATGGTAAATGATCATTGTATATATTAGCAAAACAATATTTAATTTGAGTTAACGACAATGAAACTTTGCCACCAACATACTTTAAAATATCATTTTATTATCCAAATTTAAATTCTAGTGGTAAATAAAGAGCAAACTCGATCCAGATTGTTAGAACTTTTGAAGAGAGAAAGCTGATGAATCTTTTTATGGTGGAAGATTGGATTTTAGTGGTTAAAATTGATCGGAATTTGACTTAAGAGGGGTGGCTACGTAAACCCTAATCACTTAATTGTTAGCGATTGACAGGGTCGGCGGGAGTAGGGTTTGAGAGGTTTTGGTAAGTGATACTCTAAGAAAAGAATGGTGATGGTGTAGAGTCGCAACGGTGTCAAAAACGAAAACAGAAAATAAATTTAGGTAATAAAATGGTTTTTAAAAGTCTTACGGGTTGGAGAGCGTACTAAGGCATTATTTGAGTTAAAAAAAAAAAATACCTTTATTCTATTTAATTTCCCACCAAGGCATTAATGTAGGAGAAGTTAAAAAGATTAATGGCCAACAATACCCCACATGCTCTTCTTTCATACTTTTAGTCAAAGAAGTAATAGTTTTGAGATAAGTTTAAATGAGACATGAAATTTATAAGTCAGACCACGCTATTGAAACATGAACATTAATCAATATATATAAGTCATCCATACTCTCACACATCAACAACATCACTTCACATGTGTCCTGAAAATGAGTTTATGGTTGTCAATTTTCTCTCTGCTGCTCTCTTTTTTACTAGGAGGCTCATCAGCTGAGCAATGTGGAAGGCAAGCTGGAGGTGAACTCTGCCCTGGAGGCCAATGTTGTAGTCAATTTGGTTGGTGTGGCACTAAATCTGAATATTGCACCACTGGATGCCAAAGCCAGTGTGGCGGTGGCGGAGGCGGCGGTGGTATTGGGAGTATCATTTCAAGATCCACGTTTGACCAGATGCTTAAGCATAGAAATGGGTGCCCCTCTAAAGGCTTCTACAGTTATGATGCTTTTATAGAAGCAGCAAAGGCCTATCCTACCTTTGCTACTACTGGCGATGCTGCCACCCGTAAAAGGGAAGTTGCTGCTT